GGAAGCGATTTTAGGCTCAGCAAATCTCTCCCTTTCTCTGGTTCCTGGAGCCTACTGTGCCCTCCAGGACTTTCAGTAGGGTGTAGCAGGCTCCAGGAGCCAGAAAGATCCAGAAATGTGCTAAGTCACAGTGAAGAAGCGTAGCAGGTAGAGAAAAGGAGCAGCTGAAGAGTCAGACTCTAGAATTTAAAGAATACGGTGGATGGCAGGAGCCAGCAGAGGCAAACAATCCGTACACACCTTAGGATAGTCAAACCAGCAGCTTGGTTCAGAGAGGCCAAGGCCCTTGGAAGAGAGCTCATCTATACCCCTCCTGGTTTTCAGCACCAGATACATAAAGTAAGGACATAACCACTCCAAGGTATGGTAAAGGGGAAGGTTTTTACTGTCGATGTGAGGGAGACTACAGCCACAGGCATCTGGAAAAGGCTAGAGCAGGGTGAGAAAGCAGTACGCTGCACAGGGGCAGCAGAATGGAGCAGGCCGTGGATGGGGTCAGAGAGCAAGAAAGAGGAAGAATGTGAGAGAGTGAAAAGGAAAGAAAGCCAAGAGAGAGAGAGAAAGGACAAAAGGAGCCAGGAAAGCTAAGAGAGAGCCAGAAGGACCAAGAGGGTGCATGACCAAAATGACAGGGTGATACCGGGGAAAGGGAAGTCCATGAGCTGGAGAGGTTTTGGGTAGAGAGTGGGGTGGGAACAGCTGAGAGGAGTCACTGGTACTGAGTGAGCCTGGAAGCACCATAGTTAGCCATTTGTCCTGAGTTCCTTCAGGTATTCACATCCTGATACATGAATTGGACAAGAAAAGAACCTTGATAATGCCTTTGAACAAATAAAAGCTAGTCCCAAAATATTAAATGTCAAAGAAATCGATAATAATATGAAGAAAATCAAAAGTAATATTTTTCATATGCTTCAAAATATTAAAACATTAAATGCATCCCATTAAAACTGTTTAGAATACAGAGCCACCAGTAGTCTACTGGACACTTGTCCTGTTGTTAATGCAGGGTAAATATCAGGATTTAATGGTATGGTGTTTCCAGCTCTCTCTAAGCCTAAAGCTCCTGGACTGAAATGAAATGTTTCTGTCCTACCCCTTACAAGCCACAGCACTGTAATTTAGAACTGTTAAGACTTTAATTCTGGCAAAACACCAATATCTTTCTTTATGAGAGACTAGATGATAAATATATTTATTTCTCAGGAGAAGAAGCACAGTTGGACTTCTGTGGCAGAGATTGTGGGGTTCAGAGGGGAATGAGGTGAGAGATTAGATCAAAACTCCAGAGCCAATAGGAAACACATCATGTCTCAACAGTGTCAAGGCTGCGACGAGATGTCAGAAAGCAGAAAGGGAGAAAAAAATCACTGCTAAACATGAGAAGAGTTAGAAACTGAAAGCCCCTACAGACTTCCCAGAGGTTAGGTTACACATGTGGCAATCTGTCTTTCTGCTTCCAGTCATGATGAACGGTGTGTAAAACTGGAGTAAAGAGTTGGAACAAACTCATGTCCCTTGAGCCCTCTGCATGTGTGGTAGACACTAAGATGCATCCAAGGATCTGTCGGATCCTTAAGTATTTGACAGTGATAATAAAAATTTAGGCTCTTTCACATCCATAATTATGAAAATAGTCTATCTTTTAAGTCAAAAGAACTATATATTTAACTTCTACTTGTACATTTTAGACATCAAGAAATCACTTTTCATAAAGTATGAAATTGCTCTCCCAATAAGAGAGCTGACTCTTTCTTGCCTGATTTGTGCTTCTCTTTTGTTTCCTTTCAAACTTCCATAAGCTCAAAGAATGTATTGTAATAATATAATAATAGGCCCCATTACACATCAGTTGTTACATCATAGAGAATAAGGATCACTGTGTAATGGTGCGGAATGCTTGGGTTTGCGTAACTTTAATTAGGGAGCAGGGAGAGTTTACTGCTTATTGGGTTTTACACCGACTGCTTCTCATCTAGTTCTCATGGCCACACATGAGGGAGGTGTGAGTATCATCTCTAGTTCATAAATGTCAAGTTCAGGGTGTGTGTGTGTGTGTGTGTGTGTGTGTGTGTGTGTGTGTGTGGTGTGCAGTGTTTGGTATGTGTGTGTGGTGTGGCTTGTATGTGTGGTGTGTGGTGTGTGTGTGTGTGTGTGTGTGTGTGTGTGTATGTGTATGTATGTATGTATGTTAAAGTCTGTCCACAGCACTTGTCGGAAAGTGATAGTCAAGGAATCAGAATTGGACCTGAATATCTGACTCCAGAGTACCTGACCTCGACTACTACGGTATGATGACCACTGGACAATGTCTTACACTGAACTATCGGAAGAGCAGCGGATGTCTCCAGTTTTATGTGTGATGTAAAAGGAGGGAGAAATGGTGGGATGTTACATTTCTATAGCGCTTAGCTGTCAACTCCGTGCAGAAACACAGAGCAGGTCCCTGCTTCGTTGGTTTGGGGCCTCCAAAAACAAAGGCAAACAAACTGACAGGGTCTATTAATTACCTGTCTCACAATTTTAAAAAAATCGAATTAACAAAGCTGGGGAAAGGGAAGCTCTGAAAAATGTTCTTGAGAGCAGTATTTATTGAGAAGTATGTTCTGAGGCTTACGTGGCCAGAACCGGCCTCCCGCCTGCCTGAGCTGTTTTGTGCTGTGTTAAGGTGCCATCTGCGGCAAGCATTGGAACACAGGCAGAAAGCGGGTCTCAGAGATGCTCTTCCTGCTTGTTTCAGCGGCGGCCCCTTACATTAAGCCCCACTCCATCAGCCAGGGTCCATTTTTATTCCGTGGTAATTTCCATTCATTATTAATGTCTTTTGGAATGCAGGGACTATTTTTGAAAGGAAATGAGCCAGTCAGACATATCTGGGGGCTTCACAGATGGCAGTTTTTAGAATAGTTTTGTTTTCATTTTGCGATTGAAAAGTCCTCTTAGCCCCTTTTGCAACATGCAATAATGCGCTCACATTAACTGATACATGATGTGTGCTTCTGCTATTTTTCCTCTGCTTCACTTGGCAATTAAACACATGATTTCCCTGCAAATGACTATAATTTTTTGCTTCCATAATATTTATGTCAACTCCAAAGGAGCTGGGAGTTGGCATGCTGAAAACCTGACCATCTGAGGCAGTGGCAGCAGCGTGTAATTTCATCTGTATCCACTAATTACTGGATGATCAGAACACCAGAAATAAAAAATCATATGCTAAAAAACCATAATGTGTGCCCTCAGCTGGCTAAATCAGTAATTTGAAGCCATGTGCAAATGAGCACATAACTTTCTGAGTGATTTATTGCTGTTTTGGGAATACATGTGAGGCTTTGAAAATATTTTATTTGACCTGAAATATCAATTTTGAGATGAAAGCTACTCAAAGCATCCTTCGGGTCAGTCCGAGGGGTCTGTGGAAGTGGCCCTTCCAGAGACAGAGGTCTTGATCAGAGGGCAAAAGCCTATAGAACTGCCCATGAGTTTGTCTGAACAGATGCAGTCATTTGCCAGCAGGACTGGATATGGCAACTCCCATGGTTGTTTGTATTTGTGCATTTGAGCCTCGTGAGGAGCAGATGGTGTGGGTTGAAGCTCCGGGTACGTCCCAGGAAATGCCAGAGCTCTCTTTATACAATCTCGGTTTCACTGGTCCTAAAACATTAGAGGAGTGGAGTTGCTGCACTTTGTATCCGTTGACTGAGATCAAGGGAGACAAAGCGACTTCCCCCAAATGATATGTTGCAATAGTGGTAGAGCCCAGCCAAGAAGCCGGCCCATTGGCTTTAGCGTCCCGTCTGCCTTCCCACCTGTGTCTTTGCTTTATTTAAGCTTTCCCACATGTGGCAGCTGCCCTACCCAACCGGTAGATGCAACCACGAGGCTAGGGCCTGGCATAGGTGTCCCTAAGTCCTGTAAAGAGCCTGCACCATGCTCCAATCTTTCATTAACTTGGTAAATTTTTAGTGAACACTGACCATTCCACTAAACATATATGTGGAGATTGACCACTCCTGAGGCCCTGAAGGTATAAAAACAGGAGTCATTTCTTATTACTCACAGTACCACAAACATGGAATTAGCAAGTGCTGGGCCACTGCTCCAAAGGAAATGTCAGATTAGAGTTCTTCAAGGCCTCAGGTTACAGACAGTATCTTTGTCAACAGACTCATGCATAACTGTGCTCTTTATGTGAATGCGCTAACACTGAACTCATGGCAAAGTGTACTATAACTCACGCCTGAATTAAATTTATCTAAAGCATGACTTTTCTTGCTATGACACAACACAATCTTTTCAACATGCCAGCCCTCCACGTGGGAGTAATTGTAAACCATTTTTAAAGGAACTAAGCAGACGCTGAAAAGGACAATTGCTCACAACATCATGGTTTGGCCTCGCCTCCATCCTGCACCTCTCTACAAATGGCTGCAAGTATGGCAGTCACTGATTTGAAGGTTACAAAGGAACTCTAGCCAGTAAGCTAAACCGCAAACAAAAGACCCATATTCCAGGTTCTGGCTATGACAAACAATGCTGCTATGAACATAGTTGAGCACAGAATAAACATGTATGAGCAAATATCTCTGTACTAGAATGTAGAGTCCTTTTTGATATATACCCAAGAGCGGTACAACAGGATCTTAAGGCATATCTTGAGAAACCTCCTGTTTATTTCCAGGTTGGTTCACGAGGTCCCACCCTGAACGAAGAAACTGTATGCAACTGATACCAACTGGCAACGGAAAAGCAGGTTTTCTGGTTTTCAGTGGAGTGCCCCTGGGTATTCGAATCATACTTTGAGCAGACCACATGCCCACATGGGCTTGGCCAGCACAAAATGAAAATGAATTCCATGGTTCTTTTGTGAGATTTTTCTTTTTCTTGCTTCATTTTGTTTTGAATTTTTTTGTCTTGCTGTTTTTTTTTGTTTGTTTGTTTGCTTGCTTGCTTGCTTGTTTTTATTTTTTATCTTGTGGGTTCCTTTTGTTATGTTTTGTTTTTTGAAAGACAGAGAACATAAAGTTGGGTGAGTACAGAGGGAGACGTGGAGGACCTGGGAGAAGTTGGGGAGGGGAAAAACATGACCAAAATATAAAATATGAAGAAAATAATAAAAAAGATTCTTTAAAAAGTACCACATATCAGAATATACTGTATGATAAAAGTCTATTGTCTACTTTTTGGGAAAAAAAAACCCTTTCTCTTATCAGAAGAAGCAAGTGTTGGTGAACCACCATGAAAAACAGGACCTTGATCACCAGCTTCCCAGAGAGTTAAGTCTTATAGTTTTCTTATAAATGGAACTCTTCTTGTCTATCTTTGAGAAGTGGCCTAATCAGAACATGATTTAAAGATAATTACAAGCTGTAGGGTCTCCCTGCTTCTGGAAACTAGCTTAATTGCTCAGAAATTGTAACTTGGAAGTGGGAACCTGGAGCCACCTGTGAATGAAGGTGTATGTAATAGTACATATATGTTAGAGCTCACCTTTACAAAGTCCAGATGCTTCTAGCTGGGCCTGCTCCCCTTAAACACTAGCTAGAGTCCTGATCGCATATTCAATAAAGAGTTTCCATTGCTAGAAAAAAAGAAAGGAAGGAATTAAGGTTGGAAGGAAGGCACTAAGGAAAGAAGGAAGGAAGGAAGGAAGGAAGGAAGGAAGGAAGGAAGGAAGGAAGGAAGGAAGGAAGGAAGGGAGGGAGGAAGGAAGGATGGAAAGAAGAAAGGGAAGGAAAGAGAAAGGGAGAAAGGGAAGAAGAGAGGGAGGGAAGAAGGGTGGGAGGGAAGAATGGAGGGAGGGAAGAATGGAGGGAGGGAAGAAGGGAGGGAGGGAAGAAGGGAGGGAGGGAAGAAGGGAGGGAGGGAGGGAGGGAGGGAGGGAGGGAGGGAAGGATAAGATGTAAGAGCTGCAACATAAAATGGGCTTTAAAGAATGAATAGAGTCTAAGCAGAAAAAAGGAGGATGTTTAGATTGACTGTTTATATTTTTCCTTAGATTCCCCTAACCCAGTCAAATGAAAATGCCTTTTTTTTTTCCTGGGAAATGTTAAGGTACTGCAAGCTTAATGAAAAGAAGTAGAAACTCTCAGATTTGAGCCTGTGAACAGCACAGTCCAGAACTCCCTCGGCCTACCTTGTGTCGTACAATATATATTCCTCTTACCAGCAAGCATAACAGAGGCCATGGAAGAGGCTGCAGGACAGTCAGAAAGGTGATCGTGAACCCCCAGGCAAAGTTCTGGAGCACAGTAAGGAGTGTAGACTCCTGGCTCTTGTCTATTGTGTAATGCTTGCTTCACATGGACTACAGTTGCTGTTTGAGGTTTCCTGCTCTATTTACTGAGCTTGAATGATCTCCAAACCCTTTTTAACGTCTTGTGATTTACTTGTCAGCTAATGAGTTGGACACAATCTGACATGAGCCCACCTGATATTTGCATAAGCATCACTACGTGGCCTTCTTGAGAACTGCACTTCAACATGCCGCTCACTGCACTTCTGCTCAAATCAGGATATAGATGGAATGAAGGAAGGAATTTTTGTCTCTTGTTAACAGTGACTACCATCGTTCCTGGCACACTGTGTGCACAAAACCTATAAATCCAGGACTTTATTTTAAGCGATTCTAAATCTTTCTGTGAAACTCCCTTCCTCCAGTTAACCTTTAAATATGATCCCATAAATCCTGTTCCTTTGTGGCTTCATTGCTTTTTTCTAGACAGGGTGAGGGCACACAGGGGAAAAAGGGGTTTTTTTAGATCCGGTTCTGGCGTGAGACTTCCTTCTTGGTACAGATATGAGAGTAGATGAGGTACTTAAGTGGTGCTGTGTAGTGGAAGAGAAAATTAGTCACTGAAAGGGTTGATAAATCAAGTTTAGTGCACATATGGGCAGAGATAGATCACCTCAAAATAGACTGAAGCCACTGACTAGCAAGGAGAAATTGCCTTGTGGTTTTTATTGAGATCCGAAGAATTTTTAAGACACTCCCCCAAGTTATTTCAGCCAAAAGCGTGTCTTATCTTCAGTGAAGAGAATAGGGTAAGAATGAGGGAAATCTATGGGAGTAGGAGGAAAGAGTGGCTAGGGTCTGAGTTTCTAGGTAACCAACTTGAATATTTGATTAGGTGCAGAAAAAGTGTTGGAAAGGTATGTGTGGGGTGGGAAGGAAGTGGATCCTAATCCAACCATGCAATGACTTGAATCATCAGTACACTCTATGAAAGGTGTCAGCGAGTTCTAGCTCATAGACATTCAACGAGAACCAACAGCGAGCACAGAGGAAGAGAAGCTGGGAAGCGTGGAAGATGAGGAGGGATGCTGTGCAGTGTCTTCTGGACATAACATGGCTACCGCACTCGTTAACTCACAGCTGCTCCAGCTACCTACACAAAACCTGCACAAGATCAAGCCAAGGAAGCTTCCAGCATAGGCTGAGTAGAGACATTCTAGGTCTCACTCCTGACTGAGGAGGAGCTGACAGTTGATAGCCACAGGAAATGGCTAAACATCAGGGATGTGACTGTTGGTTAGTTGCCCATGCTCGAATGGATGGTCCCACACCCATGCACATGTGAACCAAATAGATTTAGGGGGTTATTTAAAAAAAAAAATACATGAAGTTGGGAAGCAGAAGGTCCAGTGGGAAAACAAAAGACGAATGTGATCATATTTTATTATATACACATATGAAATTCTCAGACAATAAAAATACTTAAAAATAAATAAGTAATTGGAATCCACAAGCAAAGGGTATATGTATTGATTTTAAGTTTTCAACTAGTCACATAAGAGAAAGTGTAAGTAAGAGTGAAATTATTTGATTAATATATTTTAACTCAATATACACAAGACATTGTTCATACTAGTGATAAATCTAAAAATTTAATGACATTTTTATGCTCAATATTCAAAGCCTGTAGTGTACTTTATATTGACTACACATTACAGTTCATACTTGTCACGTAATAAGTGTTCAATAGCCACACTTATGGCCAGGCCGCCACGTTAGACTTTGGAAGGCTGGAGGAAGCTGTGTCACGCCTTAGGCCTGGACTAGCAGATAACTATCCATTTGCACCTTCCTCATTTAATCCAGTGTTGGGTAGCCATGGGTGTTTATATGGCTAGGTAGAGCAGAAGCACATAAGAATTAGCAAAGAACATTGGCTTCCTTTTTAGAGTTCAGTCCATATGAAGAACAAAGCCTGAAGCCATATAGTTTATCAGAAATACCACCCAGAAGCAGTTTGTTCCTGAGAACAGCTCATGCCCTTCAGTCCTGAACCATTTTTAATAGTGATTTAAGAACATGCAAAAGATTAGACCTCATCGCTATTTATTATGCTTCTCACTTTGACACTTCTTTATTTTGCTGTTAGAGCCTACACTGACTAAAAATTATTTTGTGAGGCCCCAAACTGTTCTTTTCCCCAGGACCCTCATTATAACCTAATGGCCATAACTGTTTCTAATAATAACTATAATTATCCTTCATTTTTATATTAGTTTTTCACACATATTAACTTGTTTGAGCCTCAGAGCAGTCTCCTGAGACCAACCCAGTTTATGAAAGAGGAGATGGTGTCCCATAGGGTTCAGTTTTTATTACAAGTCAGTTTAATTACAAGGTCACACAGCTTGTAATTTTGGAGAAAAAAAAAACACATCAACACTCAGTGACTGAAAATGTATAAAAATATCATCCTGAGATGAGTTTTCAGACATGCTTATATTTTTTTCAGAGAATTAATTTTGATAGTATTGATTCATACTTGTGAGAATTAGGATGCATGAGCAATTTTATACAGATTTTCTTGAATATAAGTATATGAATCATATACATATATGCATTTATATATGAAATTGTTAAAAAAATTCACCATTAAGTTCTTAGATTACTGTCTCCCCAAACACGGAAGGCGATGATGGGGAATTGTTAAGTGTAAATAGACTTATCTTGTGGTCTGCATACACCAAGCACTCCAAATATATCTTGAGGAATAAATAATGTATGAATTTGTCTCCAGCCATATCAAATATGTTTGTATTAGGACAATGAAGATAGAAAAAAGGATCAGTTGGTGGTTTGCCTTATTACAATGGGGGAAGAAACAGGTCCTAGAAGCCACCCTGAGTCTTCGCTGCCCAGGAGACGCAGATAAAGTGACATTTTATATTCTCTCACCCATACGAAGTCTTGTATATTTTGTGTATGCTTTACAGTTGCAACACGTTTCCATTTAGCCTAGTCACATTTCAGATGCTCACTGGGAATGTGTAGCTGGCAGCTGCTCCATCAAACAGAATAAATCCTACAGCAATGAAGAGGGCTTCAGAATTCTTATTCTTCTTCATCCCTGTGATGTATTAAACACCTACCACGTATCTGGTCCAAGAAATCAAATCTGGGGATGAGACAGCAAAGGATGTCATTAAACCTTCCCATCTTAGAGGAATACTCCGTTGAGCTGCCTAAATATGAGACTGAGAATGGGCAGACTGGGCCTGTCAGCAGAAGTCTGACCCACCAGAGACACAGAACCAGTCTTCAGTAACTGACATTGAGGGGTCAGGTCTTGGCCAATGGCTGCCAGCTTGCAGCTGCCATTCTTGCCCTTCCTACAAACTCAAGACCACCGAGAGGAAGCCAAACCTTCTCCTCATACCAGCTTAACGTGACTTCCTTCTAAGCTGCCTCATAGTTTCTGTGCGTGACAGCTGCAATCAACGCATACCTGTGCGGTGATGACACTAGAAAGCTGTCCAGGTAGCCTGCCTTCTCCAAGTTGACAAACACGAGGGTAACCATCGCCCTTGCGGGCTAAGAATAAAGAGCTTCTGGTTATTTCACTCCTCATTTGCTGCCACAAAATCTTTGATTAGTCTTTTCTAATCAAATATCCCCTTTGAGTTTTGCCCTATATTAGCATGGTTCATGGATACGGTGACCCTTTGCTGTAAATTCCAAGGTGCTAAACATTATCCTGATTCTTAGGGGAAAAAAAAGTAAAACACCAGAGACTGGGGCTTTTTCCTCAGAGAACTTAGGACTTTGGAAAATCGTGCACAAATGAATATTTAGTAAGCTGCAGTAAACACTACAAAGGAAAATTGCACTAGAGATGAAAGTGTGCAATGGAACCTCGTTCTAATTCTTGTAAGATATGAATGCCAACTACATCCAAAAAAAAAGCTTTTATGATGCTTTTTAATTGAACTTTGACAAATGCTTGGCAGCATAAACAGTACATTTTCCTCAATAGTCTTGGACAGCCGTGATCAGACATTCCTTCTCCCCTAGATTCTTTACAGTTGCTCCCTTCCTTCTCAGGCAGCCTCGGTGAGTGCCCGTCAGTGCCTGCTGGTACTACTTCGGCAAGAGATAAAGGGAAGAAACAAAAGTTGCCTTTAAATAAAACAACTGTGGCTTGCTCCAGGGTGGTTTAAGTGTTCCCAATTTCATGTTTATTAATAGTTCTCATCTTTATCCCAAGACTGTGCCAAGATTTGATTGCATTAAACCTGAAATAGCTGTCATTTTGGCTAAATTTCAGATCACTCAACACCTGGAATGTTCCCCATACCTTCCCCTGAGCACCTGCTAAAATTATACTAAAATTATTATTATTATTATTATTATTATTATTATTATTATTATTATGGTTTTTTGAGACAGGGTTTCTCTGTAGCTTTTACAGCCTATCCTGGAACTAGTTCAGTAGACCAGGCTGGCCTCAAACTCACAGTGGCTTACCTCTGCCTCCTGAGTGCTGGAATTAAAGGTGTGCGCCACCACCCCTCCCCACCTGCCCAGTAAAATAATCTGTAACATGACGGGCCGGCTTGTTGGGGTATCTGTTCCCGCCCAGTACCCCACAGCCAGCAAGTCCCAAGGAAAATCACACACAGGACTCCATAAGGTTATAAACTGATTGACCCATTAGGTCAGGCTTCTTGTTAACTCTTATAACATATATTACCCCATTATCCTTATCTATGTTAGCCACATGGGCTCAGTACCTTTCTCAGTGTGACAGCTTACATGTTGCCTCTTCGGTGGTCTGCGCAGGAATGGCAGAGGAACCTCTCTGCTTCCCAGAATTCTCCTGTTCTCATTGCATCACCTCTACTTCCTGTCTGGTTTTCCCGCCTATACTGCCTGCCTGGCCAATCAGCGTTTTATTGAAATATGATTGACAGAATACAGACAATTCTCCCGCATCAATAATCTTTTTTTTAATCTTGGAAAAATATACCCACTTGTATTTTATGGTTATATATTTTTTCAATGGTTGTTTCACTTAATATAGTCCTATTGACATGCATTTTCTTTGACTAAGAATTCTCAAATACTCAAATTGAGTGTTTGGTAAAAACGTACATTAAGTATCAGAGATCTAGAACCTATAACCATCTTCAACATTAATTTCTCTTCATAAAAAGTTGAATAGGTTATGTTAAAAGTTAGTTCAAAATGTCTTGTGTAGGTTCTTACTAACACTCTAACTGGGCTACTGTCATAAATGCTATAGTGAATCAATCAGTTTGAAGAGGAGGCATAATCGCTCATCTACCAAGTTTAAGTCTTAAGTTGCAGGCCTTTTGGCTACAAAGTAAGTCAAAGGGAGCCTAGCAACCAAGCAAAACCCTGTCTTGAAGCAAAATGTAAAATGGGAAGGGGTGTCT